TATATATATATATATATATATATATATATATTAAAATTTTCCTCGTTTAATTTGTAAATGAAAATACATGAATGAGAGAAAATCTAAAAGGGGAAGAACACGCGCGAATGTAAAACAACTCGAGATAACGAATGCTATTCATGCACAAATCTGAAGAACGTCTGAAGTGAAGTTTTATGTTAGTTACATGAACTAATATTTTTAAAACTAGGTATCATAAAGTAATTTTAACAAATATAAGAATTCAATCAAACTTTTGAAAATAATACGAAAATATAAAACTGTCTCTTAGTACAGTCAATAAAAAAATTCGATAAGCATTTAAATCTACGATTTAGTAAAAAACAGAAGTACCCTTTGTTTCATCTTAACTTGAATGCAATAGAAAAAGAAAAAACAAAAATGGGAGAAAAAAAATAAAGAAAAAAAGAAATAGAACTGGTCCACGTTATCTCTGTTACGACTACGAAAGATTTTCATAGGATCTTTAACCGCCTACGAGTAGAAACATATCTTCATTTAGTGGAAAAATAAAAATAACTAAAGTTTCGAATGAATTTACCTTTTTAATAAACACGAGTCGATATATCTAAAAAGAAAAAAAAATAAATAAAATTAAAATAAGAAAAAGTAAAAAGGAAGAAGTGTCAAATCTACTGCGAGTAGATCACGATCTTATGTTACGTGGGGGAGAGGAGGGGAGGGAAGGTTATTTGTTAGTGCATCTTGAAACTACAAGGAGTACAGTGATCCTGAAAGTGCAATGGTAAGAAGGGAGATTAAGAAGGAGAAAGATAGAAAGAGTAAGAGAGAAAAAGAGTGAAAGAGAAAGAGACAAAATACGGATAGGACTCTTAACAGACACCGTGTGTGTATGTTAAGTGAGGGAAAGAAGAAGAGAGAAAGAGATATACACACATATAAGAAAAGAGACAGAGATATGAAGACAGAGAGGTTTTTTTAAAATATCATATAACACTAATAGAAACGATTGGTAATATAACTACTACATTCCAAATTAAGAAGAAACTAATCATTTTTTCTAACCTCTTTGTGCTAATGAAGTCTCCAAAAAATGTAGAAATAAAACGTTGTCCCTTTCTTCACGGTACAAGGCTGCGAACCAAACTGAAATATAGAAGATAAAAGACCTGTGACACGGACGCGTCCGATGCTGGAGCCGCACTGTCGAACATCGGTGCTTTCTTTCTCTTCCCCCCCCCGCTCCTTTCTTTCTTTCATACTAGTAGTTGCGCATGCGTTCTACCATGCGGTAATACATTAGAAGCATATAAACCTTCTAAATAGATTCTAGCATGCAATGTTTTATTATACAATAAAAAAATATTTCTATTATTTTAATTAAACAAAAAGACAAAAGAAATATTCTTTTTTATATATAAATTGACCTTTAATATGGTCGCTTTATCGAATTATGAAATTATTAATTTTTCTTTTTTCCCAGATATTCGAAGTACCGGCATCCTTAACACTTTTCTTTAACATTATAAAATAATAATTTAAATATTGTAATTTTATTAATAAATCAATGTAAGCAATGTAAATAATTGTAATTGCATACTCGATGTTAGTTTTGATTTATTTGCAAAATTTTATTAAATATTGTTAAGAATATTTAATGCAAATTAAATGTTATTTAAATTGATTTCAAATAAACGAATATATGATTTAATTATTAATTCTGCGGATATTTATTCTCCACATTTATTTGTACATAAGATTCTTGAATATGCTTACACACGGTAATAATAATCGTTATCTGACGCGAACGGAAATACGAAGATGATTAAATAGAGAACGATGACTTCTTCTCACGTATTTTTCACTATTTCAAATGAGTTCTAATTGTCTCTCTTTCTCTCAATATTATTCTTTTAAATATTTTGATAAATAAGAAAGTTTTTATATATATTTCGTGCTATTTAAATAATATAAAATAATGTTAATTTATCTGTATCACATTATTTATGTATTAATATAAATCAGATTTTATATATATATAAATGTTACTATTTTTATAAAAAATAATAATTATCATGAATGTTGAAAGTCGGATGTTTCAGCAGATATATTTTTACCCGGAAATGCTAAATGATACCATAATTCTCCAATATATAATATCTTTCATATCATGTATTTAAAAATGTATCATATATTAACAAAATTATAGTATTTATATATATATATAAATACTATAATTTTGTTAATATATGATACATTTGTTAAATATAACTTAATTAATTTTTCTATTTCACAAAACTATGAAGTTATCAAAATTATTAGAATCAAGTAATGTTTAATTAATAATAAATGCACAATTTATTTTTCTTTTAAGTATTTCATAAAATAAAATAATTTCTTTATAAAAATAACCGATGAAAACCTCATAGATTTATATAATAATTTAAAAGGAAAATAACGTTTCATTATTTTTATTTAAAAACCTAACCTAAGAAAAATTTGGAAAAATTCATGTCAGAATTTTACTTTTATCTCAATCGAAAGCTTCAGTTTAGTTTATAATTATTATTATTGGATAATTCTGCTATCACAAAAAAATAATGAGTTTTTTTTTAATATTACTACACATCAATTGACAATCAAACATCAACGCTCCAGATTTGTATGCACATCAATTGAAATGCCACAATGTGTACACTGTTGGTTATGAGCAATTTTGATTGGTCAAAGCATGGAGGATAGATACCAGGAGTCCGAACGTAATGTTGAAAGAACAGCTGACAGCATCAATCTAGAGGACAGATATTTTGCCGGTAGGGCACGCTACTTTTCACAGAGTACTCGTTTAAATACTTACGCGGGAAGTCTTGTTGCTATTGACAGTTATGAAAAAAAATATTTTGAGAAACGTGGAATTAAATAAAAGTTTAAGGAAATTTTTAGAAACCTCAAACGTTTTCAACTCAGCAATATCGAGAAGTTTAAGAGATAATCTGGAAAGTTAAAAACATCTGATATTAATAAATCATAATACAAAAATCAGTAGGCACCAAATCATTTTGTTTAAAAAAAATAGATTTATGCTAAGAAAAATTTTAAGAAATTGAGTTTATAGTTTATTTTTAATCTTTCCATGTAAAACTATTAAAAATTGTCTCTATGAAAATTTACTAGTAAAAATATTTTTAAAAATTGTCAAATGCCTATTTATTTGAGTATGACGATAAATATACTTGATGAAAAAAAAATAATAAATAAGTTATTGTCAAACATATTATTTATTAATAATACAAATAAGACATATTCAATATTTAAAAACCAAATTATTATAGTTTTAAGAGTATCCGGAATATTGTTTTCGTAATTGAGAATTTTAAATTATTTTTTAAATTAGAGTGATTAATTTCTTTTATTGATGGTAAATATGAGTTAAAATAATATCGAATTTTTCGAGATTTTTTAGATTTAATTTTTTTCTCCGTAGCACTTTTATTAAAACATTTGACAAGAAAATGCCCCCGCATTATTAAAAAATTGTTAATAATTTTTTTTGTTAATTCTTTTTTATGCTCATCACAGTCAACAAAAATCGAGATTTTTGAAACATCATCTTGTGGCGTCTCGCACCAGCTCGGTGCTGACACCTCTCGGCCGACAGCGCGCAGCTGTAGCATCGCGCGCGGGGAAAGTGCTGACACCTCTCGGCCGCCAGCACTAGCGTACTTGGATTTTAAACGTCATCGCGTTAAGTTCCTACTCTCGCCCACTGGTAGTCAGAGTACTAACTAAGATAATTGTGAGCTCCCGAAAAGTGAACTTGTGAGTTTCTATGTATTTCTGTATTATTTGATCATACATTTAAACTAGATTCTATTTATTTTTTTGTATTGTCAAAAATTTAATTTTTATTTCTATATTCTATATATATATACAATATAAATTATTTATATTTTGTAAACTATAAAAAAATTCTTAAAAGCAGTTATATTCGCTATAAAGAGTTTAGTTAGTGTGGTAACACTGTTATATATTTCTTTTCATTTCTCCACCGAGCTAGTGTTTCTTCTCTMTTTCATTTCTACGAAGACTTCTCGAACGTGGTCTCTTCGGGACGGCTATTTATTTGTAAAARTAATAAAAAATGGTAAGTGGAAATAATCATTAATATTAGTAAAATCAAAAATTACAGTTTCTTAGTTTGTAAATAAATTATTTTTGAAATAAAAACTCAAAGGATGCTTYTTATAATGATTGATTATATGATTATCGAATAGGGTTAGTTTTACTGGCCATAAGAAACGTGTTAGATTTATATTCATATTGTTTTAAACATATGGAAATATTTTACTTATAATTGTTAAACAAAATATTATTTGAAAATATCAATCTCTATACGCAACATTTTATTTTGTAGATTAAAATTTTTAAATTTTAAATTGTATTTAATAAAACTTTATTGGGGTTATTAATTTATCTTACATAAACTTAACCATACTTGTTTATCGTTTAACACATGTGTGTTTCTGAAAAATTAATTTAATAATTACAATTTTTTTTATAGGGTTTTGTAAAAATAGTCAAAAACAAACAATACTTTAAGCGTTATCAAGTAAAATTCAAGAGGCGTCGTGAAGGCAAAACAGATTATTATGCGCGTAAGCGATTGACAATTCAAGAYAAAAATAAATACAATACTCCAAAATACAGATTAATTGTTCGTTTATCGAATAAGGATATCACATGCCAAGTAAGCTTAATAAAATATAGTATATTTGRACAATGTTTAAAATTTACATGTAGTATTAACATAAAACTGCATCTCTTATAGATTGCATATTCAAGAATTGAAGGAGATAAGATTGTATGTGCTGCATACAGTCATGAACTTCCAAGATATGGAATTAAAGTTGGACTCACCAACTACGCATCAGCCTACTGCACAGGGCTATTAGTAGCAAGAAGGGTAAATAAATATTATTACTCAAATTCTTTTTTGTATATATTATACAAATTCATATGATGAACCACTCAGCTCGCTTTGATATAAAAATGAAGAAACATTTTGTTCCCTATTTATATTCTGATACATAAATTGATTATTTTATTRTGTAATACAATTCAATATGTTGTCTTGTTGATTAAATATATTTATTTTCTTTATATACAGCTCCTTAAAAAGTTAGGCCTGGATGAATTATATACAGGCACTACAGAGGTAACAGGAGATGAATACAATGTCGAAGAATTAGATAAGGGACCTGGGGCATTTAGATGTTACCTAGATACAGGTTTGATGCGTACCACTACTGGTGCAAGAGTATTTGGAGCAATGAAGGGTGCYGTAGATGGAGGTCTTAATATTCCTCATAGGTAAATGATAGTAAATTAATTAAAMTTTACATTAGTTAACCGTTATACATATAATTATATGTTTGTGATGATTTTTTGACACGTGCGCGTCATCTGAGTCAAAGTAAAGCTTATTTTTGAWATTGTGTTTTACAATGGCAATTTATAAGTTTTACAACGGCATAAAAGATTATAAAGTGTCTCTGAYTATTTTCAATTAWATCTTAGCTTTTTATGCAYTAAAACTTATTGTTAATCGTTATTTTATTTTTATTGTACAGTACGAAAAGATTCCCCGGTTACGATAGTGAATCAAAAACTTTCAAAGCCGATGTACATAGAAGACATATTTTTGGTCAACATGTTGCCAATTATATGAAAATTTTGGAAGAACAAGATGATGAAACTTATAAAAAACAGTTTTCTCAATATATTAAAAATGGAATTAGTGCTGATGGTGTAAGTAAATAAAAATTATTATTACTTTTTAGATACTTTTTCGTCCAACTAAAATTACTACTAGATATTTTAAGTTATGTAGTGTCGCCGTTGGACAATAGAAAAAAAACATTGGTTAAAAATGTTTGAATGTATTTTTAAAAGCATTTAGAAACATAATCTATGTTAACAATTTTTTTCTGTTACAAATTTAATAATGCATCTTATTTTTGCACTAATAAACAATAATTTCTTAAACAGATTGAGGATATGTATAAGAAAGCACACGAAGCTATAAGAGCCAATCCGGAACACGTTCCAGTATTAAGGAAGAAAGAACCTGTAAAGCGGAGGTGGAACCGTGCAAAATTATCGCTATCCGAACGCAAGAATCGTGTTGCACAGAAAAAAGCATCTTTCCTCAAAACTCTGGAAGAAATGGAAGCCTAAAAGGCTTATTATTTTGTGTTATACCATCCTTATATCAAACAATATATTCGATTAACAGTACAAATGTGTATTTGATTGAATTTTGCAGTAGAATATAAAAAGATGATGAAAATATTATTTATCTTGTACAAATATTTTTTAATGGAACCATTACTTTTTTATAATATGACAATACAAATTTGATCATTAACGACTATATTGCTTTTGTATTTATTCTTTTTTATATAAATTAAATGCATGTAGTATTTTCTTAAAATTTTTAAGATGAATAACATAAAAAATATTCGTTCTTCAAAATTAGAACGCGTTTGATGAAAAAATYTTGTAAATTGTGTATCAATATAGAAATATTTAAAATTTGATCAATAACAATGNTAAAACTTATTGTTAATCGTTATTTTATTTTTATTGTACAGTACGAAAAGATTCCCCGGTTACGATAGTGAATCAAAAACTTTCAAAGCCGATGTACATAGAAGACATATATTTGGTAAYCATGTTGCTAATTATATGAAAATTTTGCAAGAARATGATGAAACTTACAAAAAACAGTTTTCGCAATATATTAAAAATGGAATTAGTGCTGATGGTGTAAGTAAATAATAATTATTATTACTTTTTAGATACTTTTTCGTCCAACTAAAATTACTACTAGATATTTTAAGCTATGTAGTGTCGCCGTTGGACAATAGAAAAAAAAAAAACATTGGTTAAAAATGTTTGAATGTATTTTTAAAAGCATTTAAAAACATAATCTATGTTAACAATTTTTATCTGTTACAAATTTAATAATACATCTTATTTTTGCACTAATAAACAATAATTTCTTAAACAGATTGAGGATATGTATAAAAAAGCACACGAAGAGATACGAGCTAATCCGGAACACGTTCCAATATTAAGGAAGAAAGAACCTGTAAAGAGGAGGTGGAACCGTGCWAAAGTAWCGCTGTCCGAAAAAAAGAATCGGGTGGCACAGAAAAAAGAATCTTTCCTCAAAACATTGAGGAAGGAAGAAATGGAAGCCTAAAAGGCTTATTATTATTGTTACACCTCCCCATACACGGTTAAGTTACTAGGCTAGTAACTTTTTATTTATATTTGTTGGGAAGGCGCCATGGGTGGAAAAAATAAACACAAGCGTTTGTACTTAATAAGTTTGCTTATGCAGCCATTCAGAGAACTACATAGAAAAAGGCAAAATATGTGTAAGGTGAAATGCAAGTTAACATTTAGCACGACCGAACAGGAACTGCGTTGAAGATATATATGCTTAATGCGGCGGCCGTAACAAGAAGGAGGGTGCCACCTTCGTATTCACATGTGGGGAACAAGGTTAACGGAAAAGGTTGATCTGGAGATTTACGCGATAGTCGTCAATTAAAGTAACAAAAATATATAAATTTATTAACAAGATACAACTAAACTCTTGGACGCCATAT